AAATGTATTTGGAATTTGGTAGTTGATGGATTTGAGAAATTGGAAATATTGTAGTGAAGTAGCATATTAACTTATTTTCGTTAATGATAGCGTATTGACTTATTTTTGTTAATAATATGTAGTTTTAAATATTTTTGAATTTTCATTTTTGACCCCACAAGACAATGATCTGGGTCCGCCCCTGCTCCAGTTACTCTCTCTTGGTCTTCTTCTTGAATATGCCCTTGTATGAAAGATCATAACTTGTCGGATGCATGTGGACAAGCTCGTACTTTTGACATTTCGCTAGCAGATGGTCGATTGGAAAGGAGAATGGCAGCTCCACCAATGTGGAATACGCAACTACTTAAGAACTTGGAGCGATCCTTTCCCGTGAAGTAGCTACTCATAGTATTCTCTGTACTCGCAATTAGAGCACGGGAATTTTTGTTCACCTGTAGAACACACGAAAATTGAGTAAAACACAGGATCTTTTGTCGCTATAATATGAAATGGTTTTCATTATAATATGCAAAGTGTAAATTTAAAAAAAAAAAATCATATAGTGTAAGTATTTTATAAATTTCCTATTAAAAATATCTACATGACTATAAGTAGTTTATTATTTTAAAACTTATTTTAGTGAATAAACTTACGTCGAATCTCAACAACTGAACTAAATTTGCTATTCATCAATTAATTGATTTGACACTATGATGAAATCATGGTTAGCATAAAAAGAGCACTAGTGCTCATTGAATCATTCCTCGTTGAAGCATACTAACTTATTTCAATAATTAAAAAAATAATCTTGCTACGTGTACATCAAAATTTAAATAACGAATTACGTATTGTCACATAATACTCAATCATTTGTCAGTTTAAAACATAATAAATTTTTTAATCTAGTATTTTCCCAGCATATCATATTATGTAACTAGCAAAATCCTTAAAAATTGTTTATTTCAAGTTTTAAATGTTGATTAAAACTTGCTTATAATCAAATTTTGTAAGCTTAGCCAAACAACCATGTTCCCGGTCAAGGAGAGAACAGTAAATTGTGTCTTTCTCGGAGGGGTTAAGCGTAATATAACCTCTTCGTTGTAATTTCCACGAACATTCTATCTCAACATAATAACTTAATCGCGATCGCGACTCAATTCGCTTTCTTCTGGTGAAACCCAAATCCCCAGGTATCCTCAAATTGATATTTATGAGAAATTCTAAAAAAATATTGAAATTGTTTTTATTACTGTTATTTTTTAATTTCTCCGATTAAGTTTCTTTTTCTTCCGGATTTCTGGGGTTTTGCTTGATTGGTCATATTTGGATTGATTTTTTCCTTCTATTTTTGCAGTTGTTTTCTTTAGTTTTTTTGATCAATGGCGAATAGAGTTCAGATCCGCACAAGCAGCTCAGCACTCATCGCCATGATCGCTGATGAGGTTACGATCTTATCTTTTTATTTATTTTGTGCTTTCCGAGCGAAATTTATGTATGGGAATGTTAACTCCATTGTTATGATGCTGTTGCCAATTCTAGTATATTTTTAGTCACCTATAAAAAGGCTTCTTCACTAATTAAATCTGCTTCACTTCAAACTGGATGCCAAATTTTAGTTACTGTATGATGGGCTGTTTATACGGTGTTGTCCTTACTATAGAACTGCAAAATAAATAGAGAAGATACGGGGCGAAGGGTAGTGGTTTGGGGGGTTTTTCGAGGAGACTACTGTCGAGAACAAAAGGCATCACAAGAGGTGTGAACTGTATAGTTCACGAGTAGGTGGTGCATAATCCCTATGCACATCTAGGAGTGGTTTGGGGGGTTTTTCGAGGAGACTACTGTCGAGAACAAAAGGCATCACAAGAGGTGTGAACTGTATAGTTCACGAGTAGGTGGTGCATAATCCCTATGCACATCTAGGAGAAATCCTTCATGCATATAAGAAGAATTAGGCTGGTTGAGGTTCTAGGAGGCACCAAGTCCTCAAAGTACCCTCCATATGTTGAAATCATATGGTAGCCCCATGTGGCAGTGAATTCAATAGGCCTTGAGAAAACTCACAGATATAGGAGTCTAATGGCTCCACTTTGTTTCCTCAAGCCAAATTTGTTCTCTTTTATTGACTATCTTTTGCAATTCTCTTTCAAAGTAGAACAAATTTTTCATTTGTATAGAATCAACCCTTCAATCGTATGTAAACTGGCAAGCAAAACTTCTTGATTAGCAAAACTTGAAAATGGTTGGAAGATATGGCTTTTTATGATTAGCAAAACAAATTCCATAGCTCATGTTATTAGTTTTCAACATAATTTGTTAATCTAAATATGAATCAAACTGTTAGAAGCTATGGCTTTTTATGTAATTGTATTCTTTTTATATATTCAAATTTTGGGTGTGGTGTTTGGAGGGACGATTTTTCTTGTTTTTGTATTGGAGCTTTTTGTTGTATTTTTTATATGTTAAGAGAATTTAAAATGAGTTGGATAATCCCTTGAATACTACAAGAGGGTTTTAAGAGAGCAGGAACATCCTTTACATGATTATTGGATGCAAGGATCTAATTTCCTGCATACTCGTCCAGTGTACAGCATCAGTTGTGCCATAATTAAAAATGGATCCTGCTATGTTCATGCGTTTGAGCCATTGTTACTTGCTTCTTATGAATAGAGAAAATTAGTCAGTGTCTAGATTTAAGTTCATCCTTCTTTTCCAGTACAGTTTAATCCCCTCCCTCCCATTGTTTTGGCTCCTACTTCTCTCAGAAACAATTCTCAAAAAATTCAACCACCATAAAGATTATCAAGGACCAACCAAATAAATTAACCAAATTATCTCATTGTGGATCCTGTTGCTATTCTTTGCCTTGTTATAAATTTTACTGATGAATTACTTGTTAATGTAGGATACAATTACTGGATTTTTGCTGGCTGGAGTTGGCAATGTTGATTTGAGGAGGAAAACGAATTATCTCATTGTGGACTCAAGTATGCTTTCTTCGCTGTTTTTCTGCAGTGCTTTCTTATTTTATTTTCTCAACCTTTCAGTGATTGATTACAGAGATAGAATAAGATCAATTCTTGAATTGCCTTTCCTTTCATATTGGTTCAAGCATTGATACTGAGGCGTAAAATAGTTGTTTCAGCCTCAGGAACTATTGTACCGCATTGTTTGGTAGAGATTTTTTCAAAAAATCAATTTTCTCAAACTCATTTTCAACCACACATTCTCCAAAAAAATCATTTTTCCACTAGAAAAATCTCTCCCAAACAAATGCTAAATATACTCTGAAGATGCCTTCTCAAGTACTGAAATATTTAGGAAACCAAAGAAAACTAGATTAAAGCCTTGAGAACAAGGGGTACCCTGCACATGTTGTATCTTCCTAGCGTCCTGGAGTGACTAGGTAAATAAGTTAGCGTTTGAGTCAGTTGGCTAGCTTTTGTACAACTCTAGTTTGTCCCACACAAACAATTTCCTGGTCTGCATGTCTATTTTTTCCTTTTTTGCCAAAATCATTGACTTCAACAAAGTTGTGTTAAGCTTAGGGTGAAATGACAGAGATTGTATGAGAAGTCTGAATCACTAGATATTGTTTGCGAATTCTGTGGCAATTTCTTGCTTCGGTTAGCTTCTGGAGTCTAAGATATTCCCAATGGTTCTGGAATACTCCAGTAAACGATATCAGTCTTGTTACTTCTTTACCTTTACAGCTGTATTAATGTTTCAGAAAGACTACAAAATGTAAATGTTGCAAAATTAATTTGGATCGTGGTTGTCCCGGTATAACTCTTACGAGTTTAAAATCCATTGATTTAGTCCTGTCCATATTGAAAATTTGGTTTCTGTGATGATTTCATTACATTTTAGACCATGAAAACAGGTGAAACAATATTTTTTTTTTTCAAGAATGAAATGCTAACAATTTGCTGTTCAGCAATGCAAGTTGTCATAAACAAGAACCCTTGAATTTGTTTACGAGCGGAGTTTCTAATATGCTCACTCTTGGCTCACCGAGGATTTCTGTTTTTGGTCCAGAAACTACGGTGAAACAGATTGAAGATGCTTTCAAAGAATTCACAGCAAGGGAAGACATTGCAATTGTGTTAATCAGCCAATATGTAAGTTTTTTTGCATTATTTTGTCGCATCTTTGTTTATCCTGTTTTATCATTTAGATTGATGAAGTGCCCTTGAGAGAATTATGCCCGTTATTGTGTATCGGATGAAAAAAATCATAATGAATCGTGCTTGTGCGTAATATGAACTAGGATGTATAATAGTTGGCAATTTTGTGCTCGTACGGCACATTTGGTATACTACATTGGATTAGGAGGGATATTGATTTGGGAGGATAGAATTAGTGGTAATTGTATCAAGGAGGATTATGGATATTGTTTTAATACGGCATTTGGTGTACAAGTAATGTAAGGTTAAAAAATTATGAGAATTTTTCTTTATAAGAGATTTTTTAAACTTATACAAGTTTATTGTTTACTTTTAACTTGATTGTCCGTAAATTTTTTACTTAGATGTGATTTTTATTTATTTATTTATTAATCTTTTCTTTTACGTATCTGTGAATTTTTTCGCTGAGATTTTTTTGTCAATACATAATTTTTTAGTTATAAGTGCATGTTGTACTTTTAAGTAATTTTTTTAAGTTCAACGCCAAATGCTGCATCGGGATAAATTTTTTTTTAATCCTATATAGCGTAATTCGGTGTACTAAACTTGTCTTATAGCTTGTTCCGCTTGCCAAACTTGCCTGAAGTATGAGGAATTTAATCAGTGTTAATGTCATAGGCAACCTACCTGTAATACAGTGTCACTAGTCATATGTAGCTTAAAAGGTTGAACAGATTCTTTGATTTCAGGTTGCAAATATGATAAGGTTTTTAGTGGATAGCTACAACAAGCCTATTCCAGCAATTCTGGAAATCCCGTCCAAGGACCATCCATATGATCCTGCACACGACTCTGTTCTTTCGCGAGTGAAGTACCTCTTCTCAACTGAGTCGGTGGCATCTGGAAGGCGTTAAATTATTGCAGAGAATTATACGTGCGCTAGTGCACTATTCCTTCACATGCTGTTGTTGCCTTCTTTCAAGTTGACTCGCTCCTTTGCACTTTGAGTTATTGGTCTCGTTATTTTTTCTCGGATTTAGTGTTGTTTAAACATGGAAGATTGTCTTTAGTTTGTTTGTTATCGATGAGCTGGAAAGACTATTGGTAATTTATATTTTGCAAATAAATGTAAAACATTTCCTTTCAAATAATCTAGTGACTATTAATGTTCACTTCAGAAATTTGAGCGATTATTATGAAAAAATGAACTTTCAGGACGTTAGGGACAGTTGATGTAATTGGGACCAAAATTACTGTGCAAACGTGAAGAATCGTGCATTTACTCAAATTCGTAAAATAAATCAAAAAGTATTTAAGGGATTAAAGATAGATATTTTAATCCGTTCACTGCCTTTTAAAAGTTCCCAGAGATGAGGGTTGGGCCACCCGATTGCCATCCCGTGGAGGCAGCGTGCAAGCCTTTCCTTGAAAGGGAAATTTTAGCGCAGCCTCGCAGGGAGGTTTGTGAGGGGAAACTTGACCGTTGTGAGAAGGCTGTTACGAACAAAAGAAACAATTTGATATAAGCTCGTTAAATGATTGAAAGTATGGGAATCTGTTATCATACGAGAGGCGGGTAATTTATTCTCAAGAATTTGCAAGTGCAAGCAAATGTATATTTACGTGTTCATTGGCTAAAGCAAATACACAATGAATTACTCACCACTCTCGATCAAATGACACAAGATGCACTCGACCTGAATCATATTAACTGGAACAACCCAACAATACAAAGGTTCTTGAAATTTAATAGAAGTAATTGGCAGCTTACAACCAACGTGAGTGCTCCCAGCTTCGGATTTTTCATCATTATTAGAGAACAATTGCAAAAGAAGTTAAGTTCAGCAGGCATCAAGATCCCGGCATGGAGGAGGTTTAGGCTCGCTTAACAGTGTTTTGTTCCCACCTTCTGGCCCAGAATTGGTGCGTTTTGGGTTTTGTGTGCCACGCTGAAATATAAGTTCATTAAAATCAAATAACAATTTTTTTAAACTTTAATAATAGACTCAACATGCTGAACTTATTGCATTACCGGAGGCTTTTCTCCTCTTCTCAAAGCCTCGACAATTTCTACAACTCTCTTCGGAGTGACATCTTCCTGAAATAGTGGAGAAAGAATGAGAGTTTGAAATTTTGAATAATTTGATGTAAAACTATGCTTGACCACAAAAAACTATGAATAACATGTACTTACATAATAATTGTAGGTATATCCTTCAGATCCATTGGAATAGTCAGCTACTGTAATCATAGGAGCATTTACACAACATCCCTATTGAAATCCAACATGAAATCATGTCATAGATTATATAACCATGACTTCTGCAAATCACTACAACACATTATAAACTAGTATATAAATCCTGACCATGTGAAAGTAAACAGTAACCACGTGGCATATGAAAGAAACATACGTGAGACTCCCAGACTCCAATAAGTGCGTATCTCAACCTGCATCTATAGTAGGGCTGAGCGTGGATTGGGTTGTATTGGTTTTGAGTCCAACCCAAACCTAACCCAACATATTCGGTTTGACAATAATTCAAACCGAAACCAATCCATTCGCAGTTGAAACCCAACCCAATCCAAACCGACCAAACTTGGGTTGGTTTGAATTGGGTTGATTGGTTTGGACTTGAGTCTAATTCAAGTTGGACAATTATTTTATGGGCCCAATGGTTGAGACATTTTTCGTTGAAATTGAATAATTTTTTTAAAGTTTGATACCATTTCAATTTGGACCAATTTCAGTTA